CTGGAGCCAGAGCTGCCGGGGCCGGGGCCGCTCGGCCAGGGCCGGACTGGGCCGCGCCGCACCTCCCAGGAGCCCTCCTCGCACCCCCGCCCGCTTACCTGTTGCTGTCGCCGCCTGCCCCTTTTCAGACTTCCCGCGAACATCTGATTCACGGGAAGCAGGGGAGGGGGAGGAACAGGGGGTGGAGCATTCAGGGGAGGGGAGGAGGGGGAAGTGAGCTGGGGGCGGAGTGGACAGCTGCGGGGCCCTCTTAGGCGCGGGGCCCAATTCAGCCGAATCGGCTGAATCGGCTTAAAGCCGGCCCTGCTTAGATATGCTGATTTTGTCCCTACATACTTGTGCTATTCTTTTGTTCTCCTCCTTAGCAATTTGTCGATATTTCCAATTTTTTGTAGAACTCCTTTCTGATTTTCAGGTCATTACATTGCTCCGGATGGAGCTTGATTGGCCCCTTACTATGCTTCCTATCTTTCCTGCTCATTGGGATAGTTTTGAAATTGTGCTTCTAATATTGTCTCCTTGCAAACTCTCCTGAACAACTTTTTCCCTTAGATTTTCTTCCCATGGGATCTTACCTACCAGTTCACTGAGCTTGTTAAAGTCCATTCTCCTTATTCTGCTGCCCTCACTCCTTCCTTTCTTTAGTGTCATGAAATTTATCTTTTCCTGATGTCTTCTCCCCAAACTGCCTTTCACCTCGAGAGTTGCTACCAATTTCTCCTAGTTGATAAGGTACCAGTCTAACATGCTCAGAACATTTGTGGATTGGGAGTCTATAACATATACTCACCATCGGCTTAGATTTGCTCGTTCCTTGGGCAATTTCCCATGCCTATGTGTCCTTCATGAATGAAATTTAAGATCCTGTTTTTTCCCCCTGAGGATAAATGGAAGCTTAACACGCTTCCCTTTGAGGAGAACATTATCCACCACTGCAGGCTTATACGGCATAATGTTTAGGCATGAAATGTGTTTTCCATCCAGAATGTAGAGCATGCATCATGGACTCCAGTATCTCTGCAGTTGCACTTGATCACATGTCCCACATGCGAGATGACACACCATCTGAGTAGGTTGATGTGGAAGTCAACCTTGGAGTTGGTTTCTGGAGCCTGGCCTTGATGGGTCTCGGTTAGATCTGGGAAAAAGCATCATCCCACAATGATTTGACTTCCTGATGCGAATTCAACGGTGGAGTCATAATTCTGAAGCATGAGCGCTGGCATCTGAGATGGCATTCAGCTTTGAAATAGATTATTTCGATTGTGAATGATCCATAGATACAGCTGGGAGAAGCTTCAAGACGATGTCAGATTTCTCAGACGTTCCTTCTGAAGTGGTGTGTGTTTGGAGACTGTGTTTGTGAAGACACTGGATGCTAATGATACAGATCCCCAGCTGCAGTCTTTGCCCCTAGCCCATCTTGCAAATTTTGCACAAAAAGGCAGAATATTGTAGCTGAGATGCATAGGACAATAGTCTTTTCAGTTCTTCATATTCACCATCCATGGTCCACTTCCATTCCACATCCAGTAGCAGCATTATTATCCCATGTGTTTAGTTATCAGAGAAGTTATCTATCGATTTTCCTCAAGAAAATTGGCATATCTAGTGCATGCCACACTAGCACAGGGTCCTTACCCAATAGCTACACCAGAGGATAGACGCTCAGGGGTACAGCCAGTTGGAAAATTTCCAATTGAACAGCTTTTTCATCAGAAAATGCCATTTTGTCGAAATAGAGACCTTTCACAAGGAACAGGCCAATTTCAACGACATTTCGTTTGGAAAGAAATTGACATGATCCGAACGGAACATTTCGATTTTCATTTTGAAACGACAATCTGTTTTGCTATTTTACAACCTTATTTAATTTATTTAAATTCTTTACAAATTAAAACTTGGAACTAAACACCTCAATTGTATCAAAATTAAACATTTTCATTGATCAGAAGTATTTTTTTTTTGAAAATTTCATTTGAAAATGTCAACATTTGTTGATGTGGTTCTGATTTGGAATGAAAATAAATTTCAAAATCACAGAATGTCTCGCAGAAGATTCTAGTTCCTGCCCAGCTGCACGCACAAATCTACAGGTGCTTGGAGCCGGATCCTTGCATTTAGAGAGGAAAGGCTCGTGGGTTTACACTTTGGGTCCTGGATCTTATCCCTGCAGACGAGCTAGCCAGGGGCATCATTAACATGGATGGATAGAAACTGTTTTAATGGACAATCAGGGTTTCAACAAAACAGAGCTTTTCAATTCCTGTGGAAATTTTTGATTTTTTTTTATTTGGAAATATTGCTGGCATGCTTCTGCGATGCTGCAATTTGGTGCCCCATTTTCCTCTATAAGCCATGCATCACAGAAGGACTACATCTCCCATGAGGCATCACAGCCAGAGACTCCCATAATGCCATCACCTTCCCTCACCATGACTGGGAGATGAAGTCCGACCACAGAGGTTGGCCAGTAGAGAAGGATGGGGGCTTCAAGCCCCCATACTACAACTCCCATGAAGCATTGCAGCAGCATTTCCAGATCAGAATGTTTCCGGGTTGGGGTTTTTTTTTTTGAAAAGTCCAATTTTTTGGGGTGGGGGGAGCAGAAATAATTTGGTTTTTGGATTGGACAGTCGCAGGCTAGCTGGTGTTCTCTGCTAATGATGTGTACAATTTGCTTGCGCTGAATATTTGGGTGGGCAGAATTTACATATAAAACCAACTTGCTCAGGTAGGGATGATAAACTACTGTAGGCGGTGTTGGTATCAACACCTAGAGTCAAGGTTACCTAACACTTTCCATGATCAAACATTGTTTTCAGTGGCTGAAAGCTTTGCCAAACTTTAACTCTTCAGGTTGAGACTTTCCACACTTGCTCTCTGAACGTGCTTTGGAAAGACCCAGTTCAGCCATTTCCAAGAATGAGGTTCGGGAATGATAGGTCATTTTTACAATATTAAAACAATTCTCCAACCACTTTTTGAAGTGCTCTAATGCCTTGGTAGCAGGGTCTTGAAATTTTGCAAAGGAATAGCCCTGGGGTCAGGGAGGTGCCTTTTGCTGTTCTCAAGAAAATTCCTCCAGACTTGGTTAAATTATAAATCTCTGGAAAGCACAATTTACATATGCTCAGGAGAGCAGGGGGTTGGTCAGTGACTGGCATTTCTAGGCTTTACCGCAATACAAATAATTAAAACTGTAAAACTTTTTTCTTCCCATCAGAAAATGTCATTGTGTCAAAGTTGAAAATTTCTGTGAGAATGTGTTGATTGTGATGCAAATTCTTTTCAAAAAAAGTTTAAAACAAAGCAGTCTCCTGTATGGACTGGGCTCCACAATCAAACTACATTTCCCATGAGGTTCACAGCCAGAGACTCCCATAATCTATTAACTTCTCCTCACCAAGTGGTGCATGGTGCTTCATGGGACAGGCAATCTGGCCAGGCCATTGGACACTATCGTAAAAAACATTTTGATTTTTTTAAAATAATTTGTTGTTTACATGTTTTTCTTAACAGAATTAACATTATACTAGAAATGACGATCTATAAAAGTTATATATTTTGATATATGCTTTAAATTTAAAGGCATCGAGATCTCTGTGAAACAGATTTATTTTTTTTCCCAAAAAACATTTCATTTTTTGGGAAATTTCAAAATTCTTTCCTTCTGTGCTGACTCAGGACGCAAACAGATTGTGAAATCGTGGCTTCCTGCCTACTCTACAAACAATAAAGACTAATCAGAGATGAGGCCTGAACATATGAATTCCGTTTCGCAACCCATGGAATTGATAATGGGAGTGCCGGGAACTTTGCTCTTCGTTAGCAGCAAACTGTCCCAAGCAACTTCTCTGAGACCATCCTGGAAGGGCCTGTGGTGAAACTGCAGAACCTTCCCACCCAACCCAACTTTGACTTCTCGCTTGACTCTTTTTCTTACCTGCGGCTGCCCCGACTACCAGCATCGCAATGATCAGCAGCTCCATGGCGGTTGTGGTGATGGATACGGTCGGTGGAGTCACTGGCTTTACTGCAGGGAAAGAGATCGAAAGGGAATCATTGGCCACGGGCGTCTTGAGGAGGACGGATGCCTCGCGGGGAAGGTGCACGCTTAGGATTCAGGAAATCCGCACTTGAGTCCCTGTTCTTCCACAGGCTCCCATGAGCAAGCGGTTTCTCTGCACCTCGGCTGCCCTGCCTGTAGCAGGAGATGACAGCACTGCCCGACATGGGGAGGGGAAACACACTGTGATCGTCTATTGGCAATGGGGGCCCACTGTCCCACAACTCAGCTCCATCTTCCACTTCCGCCCGGTCCCAGTCGCCCCCAGGGTCATGTTCCATGAAAAGATCTGATCTGTTGGGAGAACTAAATCTCAAGCCAGATCACAAAAATGTCCATGAGCTGGACTGAGCTCACCCCTCTCCTACTAGTTCCCCTTCTAACGTGTTACTCCAACAACAGAGAGGGTGAAACCCTCGTAACCAGCTTAATATCAGAGAAATTAATAGATCTAAGGTGCTATCTGGCCCCCATTATGGCAGTATCTGAGCACCTCCCAATCTTTACCCTATTTATCCCCACAATTTGTTGGTGAGCAGGGCAGGGCTACTATCCCCATTGTACAGATGGCAAAACTGAGGCACAGATCCTACAGGCCAAGGTCCTACAGGGATGCAGCGACAGACCAGAGATTAGAAGCCATGTCCTCCAAGTACCAGCTGAGCAGTCGAACTGCCAAGCCATCCGTCTACATTGAGTGCCCCTTGCCATCCTGTATAATCCTCCCAATAATACAACAATGCACCTTGGTACCCCATAATCACCCCCAATAACAAAGCAATACCCCCGTGTTACCCTATTGTCCCTTGAAACCTGAGAGATGCCCCCTGAGTCCCCATTGTCCCCCCAATAATAAAGTGATGCCCCAGCAGCCCATAATCACCCCAATAACGGTGAGATGCCCCAAGCCACCATCCTACATCACTCTCCAAACCACAACTATCTCCTTTCCACCCTGCCAGCATGACACCCCTTCCTTCCCCCAGCCAGGCATCCCAACAACAGGGGCTAGACTGGCCCTGCTTCACCTGTAGCTCCTGGCGGGGGGCCCTCGGGAGCAGAAGAGGCTCTGGTGGTTGTGTCTTGGACAAAGCTAAGGATCCTCTGGGATGGCTCACTTTTTATGCGAGGGAAATGGGCTGTCCCTGTGAGTCAACGTGATTGCTGTATCTGGGGAGCTGTCCCATGATTTGGCAGCCAGTTGGCTCCCTCCGCCCTCATGCTCCTGGCTTCAGCAGGTTGGATCCCAGGGAGTTGCGGGAGCAAGCCGGCCTTTGTTCCTGCCTCTGTCCTCTGCAAGGGAACCTGGCGGGAATTAGCCCTTGGAATGGCATCTTCTCTGTTGCCGAAAGCGACTCCCTGAACCTTCTGCTCTGTCTCCTCGCATGAGGACAAGAGGGAAAAAAAGGAGACGGAGAATCGGGGGTGGGGGGGGAAGATGAGCCACAGGGACTGTGGGGAAGTCGGGGCTGAGGGCTTGTCTATACTTGAAACGCTCCAGCGAGGGGTTGGCCCATTGGCGTAGTCAATCCATCTCCCTGAAAGGCAGGAGCTAGGTAGATGGGAGAATTCTTCCATCAACCTAGAGCTGTCTACATGGAGGGTTAAGTTGGCTTCACTACATCACTCGGGGCTGTGGATTTTTCACACATCCCTGAACGACATAACTGGGTCGGCCTCGTTTTTTAGCATAAACCCCGCCTACACCATGCGCGATGGAAAGAGCTGGATCTGTTCCACTGACGCAAAAGCAGAGCGAGAGGTGGCTTGGTCACGTTGTGTACGTATCTTCACAGGAAGCAAATCCCGAATGCTGATGGGCTCGTGAACGAACGAGAACAAGAACTAGTGGCTGGAAATTAAAGACAGACACATTCTGGTTAGGAACAAGGCACCAGTTTTTTACAGTGCGGGTTGATGAGCCATTCCCTGATGGATTCTCCATTGTTTGATGGCTTCCAGTGAAGCCCGGATGCCATCCTGGGAAAATTCTGACTATGGATTGGACTCAATGCAGGGGGAACTGGGTGAATTTCTCTGACCTGCGTTAGACAGGTGGCCAGACTAGATGATCTCTAAGCCCCATCTGGCCTTAGAATATATGAGTACACCTACATTGTGATGAAAGACCCCCAGTACGGCCGCGGCTGGCCCGGGTCAGCGGACTCGGGCTCACAGGGCTTGGGCTGTGGGGCTAAAAACAGCAATGTAGACGTTCAGGCTTGGGCTGAAGTTTGAGCAGGGAAACCCCACGTGGGGGGTGGATGTCAGAGCCAGGGCTCCATCCCAAGTGGGAACGTCTGCGTTGCTCTTTTTAGCCCCACAGCCCAAGCCCTGTGAGCTCGAGTCCAATGATCTGGGCTCTGAGACGTCATGCCCCTGGGTTTGAATTGCAATTTTCGAGGCAGCCGATGAATCTAGGAGTTCAATGCCCATAAAAGGACCTGTATTTTTCACGCAACGTGTAATTGACCCGTGGAACCCACTGCCACAGGAAGCTGTTGAAACCAAAACCATAACAAGATTCAAGAAGGGAGTGGAATAACCGGAATGATCACAGTACGTGATTGCAAACAAGTTAGTGGCCGGGACTATCAAACTTCCTCTTTCAGGGTTTGAGTTGATTTCTAATTATAAGAGAGCAGGGTGATGATTAAGGTGTGCTTTCTGGGAGGGGGACAGATTATCTCCCATCAGCCACTGCAGGGGGTCTCACACCTTCCACTGAGCACTGTCAGTGACGAGATGCTGGACTAGATAGATTGCTTTAAAAAAAAAAGTGTTGGATTCTGTTTATTTGCCTTCAGGTTTCGATCTGTTCATTTTAGGTCCTTATCTGGCCTCCATCACCTTAGTATCTGGGCGCCTCACATTCTTTAATATATTTATCCTTACGCACCCCTGAGAAGAAGGTAGGGACTGTTACTCCCTTCAGAATAACCTAATAGCAAGTGTGAAAAATCGGGACACTTTTTTTTCGGTGGGGGGCATATTTGCCTATATAAGACAAAGCCCCTAATATCGGGACGGCCTCAATAATATTGGGAAGTCGAGTCACCGTAATTAGGGTGGGGCAGGGAACGATTTTCCCATCCCAGGAGAATGCTCAAGATTTTGAAAAGTTTTCCCCTCCCAAAAATCTTGAAAGATGTTCCCATTCGACAAAAGAAAACAAAAACGGTCTTGATTTGGGTCAGTTGAAACATTTCATTGCGAACATTTCTAAAGCTTTCATTTTGCTTTTGCCCTTTTAATCCCATTTTTAAAATAGATATAAATTCAGTCACAACACGTCATGCCGGGATGTTTTGACAATGTCATACCTTCCCCCCCACCCCAACTTTTTTGGCATTGGGAACTTCACCCAAACAGATCCTGTCCTGGGAACAGTTTCAGTTTTGACGCCTTGGCATTTTGGGGGGGGGGGGGGAGGAATTCCCAGGCACTCTACCCATTGTGCTGATAGGGAAACTGAGGCAGAGAGCGAGACTGAATGCCGTGTTGAGAGTCACATGGGTAGCTGGGGGGGGGTGGAGCAGGTCTCCTCCAGTCCTGGATGATGCACAGCATTGAATCATCCCTTCTCTGGGCTTTTAAGGGGAATGTAGGTCATGTTGTCAAGCTTTTCTTTTGGAATCACAAGGGTTTGTTTTGATTCTGGGCCAGTCACAGGACTCCAGCTGCTGGGGCTTGGAGAAAAGCCCCAGCTGTCAGGAGACCTGGCAACCCTGCTCCTTGTGAATGTTGGCTGTACCCAGATGGGCCACGCAGGTCTCAGTATTGGGAAGGAGCCGCTCTGAGTAACTGGCCCACATCCGGTGCCCCAAACTGGTGCTGTGCCAGCCCGGTGTTGACAGTGCTGGGGGCTGATAAAGGGAAGGCTTGGGTTGGGTTTACCATAATACACCTAATAAATGACAATCTACAGCGCCTAACACAAGGGGGTCCTGGCCCATGTCTGGGGCTCCTAGGTGCTACCGTAATACACCCAATAAACAATGCACAGCACCTAGCACAATGGGTCCCAGCCCAAATATGGGGTTCATGGGCTCTACCGTAATACACCTAATAAATAACAATGTACAGTACTTAGCAGAGTGGGGCCCTGATCCGTGATTGGCACTCCAAGGTGCTACTGTAATAGGAAATGCTGAGCACAAGGGGGTGGCCTACGCCCTGCCACTCAGAGCATCTTAGGCACCTACACCTCTACCGCAATATAACGCTACCCAATATAACACAAATTCAGATATAACGCGGTAAAGCAGAGCTCTGGGGGGGTGGGGCTGCACACTCCGGTGGATCAAAGCAAGTTCAATATAACATGGTTTCACCTATAACACAGTAAGATTTTTTGGCTCCTGAGGACAGTGTTATATTGAGGTAGAGGTGTATTTCCATGCATGAGTCTCCTCTATAAGAGATCTCCTGGTGTTAGACACTTAAAGCATTTTGTTCCTCATGGAAGGCTGGGAGGGGAGCTCCCCATTAGCCCAGTGGTTAGCACTCTCATCTTTAATTTAATTTATTAATGGAGATATCCTATCTACTAGAACTGGAAGGGACCTTGAAAGGTCATGGAGTCCAGCCCCCTGCCTTCACTAGCAGGACCAAGTACTGATTTTGCCCCAGATCCCTAAGTGGTCCCCTCAAGGATTGAACTGACAACTCTGGGTTTAGCAGGCCAATGCTCTAACCACTGAGCTATCCGTCCCCCCCCCATCTGGGGCATGGGGGCCCACAGTTCATTTCCCCCCTCTGCTTTCTGTGAAGAAGGGATTTGAATGTGGGTTTCCCATCTCCTAGGAGACCACCTGGGCTATAGAGTCATCCTGACCCGCTTGTAAGCTTCAAGTCAGGCTTCCCACTCTCCTTAACCCATGGCACTTAAAAATGTTTCACTGAGTGAAAGCAAAGAATAAG